CTGTAACCAACCTATTTGGGCTGCAATTTATTTTCTGTTATTTCTCAGGCAGCTTCTCCTCCCCCTTTCCATCCATCCCTTGCTGAAGGGGATTTATAAGAGAGTTCAATTCTAGGACTAAAGAAACATTTTACCCTGAATTTATTTGATACAATAACTTTCTCTTCAGAAACAAATGATGAGATCGCTAATTGTGGAATTAGGTCACTATTAGGAGAGGTTAGCATGACTGATTTCAGATATTTTCAGGCTGTATATGTGGAATATGTATTTATCCTTCCTCTTACCAAGAATAATGAAAGCAAACATATATGTACCAATTTGTGGTATATGTATTGGGTACATATTTGAATCCCACCAATCCTACCAAAACTTGTTATAGTAGGTGATATTTTGATACTAGTTTTACTACCAAGGAAACTGAAACTGTTACTTTAAGAAATTAAGTAATATTCTGAAAATGTCATTGAATTAGTAAATAATGAAGCTGGGTCTTAAACTCAAGACTTTTGATCACAAAGCTCAGGTACTTTTCATCGAATAATACTGTCATCTTTTTAGACAAATCCTTCACAATATAATGATACCATATACATTTTCAAAACGCCTATGTAGAATGATGTCAAATTCATTTGTTTATGCATGAATCAGAAGAAAATATATAGGATCAAAATCAAAATAAAAATTTTAAAGACTTTATTGGGGAATTAGGGAAGGGGAACAGCGTTGGGGAATTGGGGAATGGGAACAGACAAGTTGCTGTCCTTTTGCTCTTCAGTCTAGTTGAGAACGTCGCTTCACTGGCCCATGTTGGTATTGTGATCATTGTGCTCTTCCCGGGTGAGGCAGTCACTCACCTGCCATTGGACGGCTGCTCACAGAAGCTCATGAAAACTCATGCCTACTGCTAGCCAGCCCCACTGCAGCCTCTGCCATTGTTGGCGACTCCCAGCAGCCCAGCTCCAGGTCGAGCTGTTGTTCACCATCTTAGCTGTAGAGGGCGCAGCATCGCTGGCCCTCATGTGGGATCTGAACACCAGGCCCCTGCTGCTCAGAGTTGGCATCTCAAGCCATCTTCTAACCAACACACCACTTGGCCGGCCCAAAATCAAATATATTTTATTTTATCCATTATTTTCCTCACATCTGCATCCTTGCTCACAATTTCTCTTGAGGTGTGGGAGCCTTTAGTATATAGTTAGTTACATGTTGTATATTTATATTTATGTATATGCATGCATATTATATACCATAAAGTGAGGTTAAGTAGTCTTTTTCATTTTTCTTACTTGGGTGGAAAGTTTTTCCACCTTTTCAAATTTTGCACTTTGGAAATGTTCAAAATATCAAATGTTCCTCTTTTGTTTATTAAGAATAAAAGGAAATTCTGAAGTTTTCCTCTCAGATTACAAAAAGAAATGTTCTGTACATCCCAAGATATAGCCACTAATTACGTATAAAATAACAAATTTAATTTCATTATCTTCACTCAGTATCTACATATCAAGTGCTTTTATGACTAGTGGCTACCATATTGGACAGCTCAGATATAGACCATTTTCTTTCTTTGTAAAACACTATGATATAATCTTAGCATTATGATTTAGAGTAGAGCCTGAGGGCCAAATTGGCCCTCCACCTGTTTTTGTAAATAAAGTTTATTGGAACATAGCTACATCCATTTATTTACATGTTGTTTATGACTCTTCTCACTGCGTGGCTCATAAAGCCTAAAATACGTTTTACAGAAAAAGGTTTACCAAATCCTGATCTAGAACCATTTTTCTAAGCAGTCAATAATTGGCATAGTTCTCTGGCTAAAATACCATTTTTGCATGAGGGCCTATACTCTTTTGTCCTCTTCATTCTCTTCTTCCTTGTCTGTCCTCAGTTCTCTCTTTTATACTATTTCAATCATATATTTCTTTACTTGAGTTGCAAAACTTGAAAGAAAATCTCTTCAGGGATTTCTTAGTACCTTGATAATTCAAAGAAGTATCTAGACTTAGATTCCTAAATAGTTTAGCCACGATGAGATGACATTACAGTAAAATTACAATAGTGTTTTTAGTAAAAATCGTAGAGGATATCTTTATCTTGACATCTGGACCTGGGATGTGGAAAGGAAGTCATCGTCCTATTTTATGGGCCTTGATAAAGAGGAAAGTTCCCTGGGGATGAAGTCCCATACATATTTCCATTTTCTTATTTCTTTTCAAGAGAAAATTCATATTTCCACTATTGATGTATGCTATTTATTTTCACTACAGATAGATTTATTGGGGGGAAAAAAAGTCCTCTCAAGACAGGATAAAAAATTGTCAACTTTTAAAAATTTCATTCTTATCTACAAACATTCCAAGACTCTCCTTGGCTGTTTCATGCAACAAAATGAGAGATAAAGAATTTTCTTTTTCTGATATGATATGGGACAATAATATCTACATAAAATGTAATTTGTTTGAAAACAATCCCTGCTATTATACAGTAATTACAGTTCAAATTCAAATTCAGCTACAATCTTGAGCTATGTCGCAACTGAAAATGAAATTTTACCTATGTGTATGTTTATTAGCAGTAGTATCAGCCTGATAAGAAACTCTACTAAGCTCTCTCCACAAGTAATTGCTTTGACTCTCAGTGGATCAAACAATGTACCTAATATTTGGTCAGACCCTTTACTGTGCACCATTTTATTTATTTTACCCAATAGTTCAGAAATGACTGAGATGTGATAAACTGGGTTATTTTCTTCATCTGATACTGTTGGAGATGATCATACACATCTAGCCAGCACTTACACAGCATCATATGGGGGAGAATTATGACACAGTGTATCCCAGCTCTGCCTCTTGCTAGCTGTGTAATTGCCTGCAAGTTACTTAACCTCTGTGTTCCTCAGATTCCTCATATAGTATACAGGGATAAAAAGTGTACCTATCTCATGGGATTGTTGGAGAATTAAATGAATTAAATACCTGCAATACTCTTAGAACTGTGCCTTAATAAACTTTCACGAAATGTTAGAGAGCTTTGTGTTATTACACATGGAAAGATAACATGTACGGGAACCAGCCAGGTTTGTCTGTAAATTCCCTTTCTGCACCTCTAGTCACATTAAATTCTATGAGCCTAAGTTTCTTGATCTATAAAATGAATATAATTGCACCTAGTCTTAGTAGCTATAGTAAAGGCCAGTGACAAAGTATGTAGGATGCTTGGTATATGAAACATACTTAATAAGTGACAGTTTATATTAAAATTATTGTGTAAATATGAAGACTCCAAATTAGCTCAGTCTGGCCAGCCAGTAAAGACACAGTTACAGGCCCATTTCCTCAAATTTCTTAGACCTGTCTTGTAAAATCTGTTGAACGAATGTCTAAAAGTGCTCACCTTTCAAGAAAGGTGTTACTTTTTCTTTCTCTGCTGATATATGCTTCCACTCAAGTGGAGTGAAGCTGAGAATCATGATTTCACAGACCATGAGAACCAGGAACAGTCTGAAATATATGTAAACCAACCTCCGCATTCACAGATGTGGCCAGTGAGCTCCGGAAAGGTTAAACTGTCCCTCCAGAGCTGTACAGCTATTTGGCCACATTTCTTCCAGGAAGCTGGACTGACCCCAGCCCTGCTGTTTCTTCCATCACTTTGCAGTTAGCATTTGTGTTTATATATCCTTGTATATTTGTTTATATAACTTCACAGTTGCTCTCTAGCTGCTCACATGTATGCAGACCTTTTCTCCAAGTTCTAAGCTTCTTGAAAATAAGACCTAGTTTCTTCTAAACACATTAGTGTTATGAAAAAATTGATGAATGTTTAATCAGTGAAATAATTGTTTTGGGTTCCACAGTAGAATTAAAATTCTAGCATGTAGGGTATCTGAGTTCACTCAGGTTGCCATAATAAATGCCACAGACTGGGTGGCTTAAATAACAGAAGTTAATTTCTCACAATTCTGGAGGCTGGAAGTCTAAGATCAGGGTGCCCGCATGTTTGGTTTCTTTGAGGGCTCTATTGATTTGCAGATGGCCGCCCTCTTGCTGTGTTCTCCAGTAGTGGTGGGAGAGAGCCAGCAAGCTCTGTGGTGTCTCTTCTTAAAAGAGCACTAATTCCATCATCAGGGCTCTTTTGTTATGACCTCCAGTAACCCTGATTGTGTCCCAAATCCCACATTGGGGGTTAGGGCTCCAACATGAATTTTGGGGGGACACAATTTATTCCATTGTGTAAAGGTCAAGTTGTTGATGTAATTTATGTAAGCACTCCCATTCAGATCAGCCTTGTTGCATGTAGACATTTCAGACATTGACATACAGCATGCTAACACATGGATTCATGTACACACGTTCAGAGCTGGCTCCATTTCCATTGTCCATGTTGTTACTGGTTCTCAGAATGCTTTCGTCACAGTGATTTGAATGGAGAAAGCATTTTACAAACACATCTCCTAAAATGCTGATGTGCTCCAGTAGGTTTATTGCCTCCCATCTCCAGGTACCACAATCATGAGCCAGGATATATGCCATCCTGCAACTTTGACATGGCCATTTTCACTAAACATTAATATATATATATATATATATATATATATATATATATATATATAAATTTGAAGCTTTTAAAATACTGAGTAATGTGTGGAATAGATTTCCTCAATACCTTAATCATACGCTCTCTCTGATCCTAAGCCATGATTGCCATTTCTTAGAATCACAGATATGTTAAGGTTCAGGTTATGTGTGTGAGAAGCCAGGGAAAAGGGGGTGGGGGCAGAACTAAGGTCTCAAAGTAACTCAGTGAAGTAATGACAGGACTGTGTGTTCGTATGTTATTGGGTAATAAAAATAAATAAATAAATCAGGGGACTTGCTCTGCCCTCGTGGAAAACGCTGATTTCCGGAGGCTGCGCTCCTTTCCTGCGTAAGCGGCTGTGATGCTGCGGGGGCGGCTGTGATGCTGCAGACTCTGCTATGCGATGGCTGCAGGTCACAATGGTCAGCAAAGCTGAAAGCCGGGCGGCGGTCAGACCCAGGCTGAGTTCAGGAGAGGACGTGCAGGCAGCCATGGGCAGCATGAGGACGCTAGCGAGTCTCAGCGTGCGGAGCAGCCCTGTGTCGCACATGTTCATGAACTCCTCGGGGAAGCTGCAGAAGCAGCTGCGCAAAGGAGAATTTGCTATGTTCAAGCACTCACCCGTGTTTGAGAGCGACTTCATCCAAGTCAGCAGAAAAGGATATTCGATTGACATGCACAACACTGTGCAGATGGTGACTGTGGGCATCACATTCAGCAGCCCCAGTCTCGCGATGCCGGACATCATGCTGCTCGCACGACCAGCTGGCGACCATGAAGTCAGTGCCGGACATGACCAAGACACCAAAGGGAGGGGCCTCAAGTCAGCCAAGAGCAAGCTGGAGCTGACCAGACTGCTTCCTCTGAAGTTTGTGAAGTTATCCATCTTCCATCATGAGAAAAAGCAGCTACGCCTGAAGCTTGCCACTGGCCGCTCTTTCTACCTGCAGCTGTGCCCCTCTGAAGATGGAAAAGAGGACGTGTTTGCACAGTGGGAGGACTTGGTGTTCCTCCTCAGACCACCCGTGGAGGCGTATAGCGGTATGCAGGCTGAGCTGGCCTCCGACATGCTGGACTTACCTGTGTTAGAGAACGAGGACAAGAAGAGCCCAGAAGCCGTGGAGGTCCATGGAGAGGGGCAGCAGGACCAGGTGAGCGTCTGGAGCCTTCCCATGGACATTGAGGTGTCGGAGGCCACCTCTCCTGCTCACGTCGCTTCGGAATGAGTCCAATCACGTGCTCCCGGCACATTCTGCATATTTGCGGACACGGAACCTGTGGTGACCTCAGCACCCGCGGGGCCTGACCAGGGGGCAGCACCAGGGGTGGCAGTGACACCTCTGGGCAGCAGGAGTATGGTGACACGGGGTACAGATACCTCGGAAGGTCCAGGAGCGGGACCCTCTGTCTCAGCCTTGCCCAGACGAGATGACACAGGTGAACGGGGTGGAGGCCGGAGAGCCTCAAAGTCCCAGGCTGAAGCCGTGAAGAAGCGGAAGGACGACGCCCCCACCAGGAGGTCTTCCCATTCAGGCCGGAAGCGGGAGGACAAGTCGCTCCACAGATCCCAGAGAACCATTCGGGGAAAACCCTCGGTGACACCAAGGGAGAAGGGACGCACCAGCCTCAGCAGCTCCCAGATGGGCTCTAAGTTATCCCAGAAACAGAGGAGCCTGTCTAAAACTATCCCAGGGGAGCAGTAGTGCACACACTGGTTCCCTTGTCCCCTCCCTCCTCCCTCTGCTGCCCCTCCTAGTCCCGGAGGGAGCACACTTGGACTATTCCTGGAACCTTTTGACCTGGACTGGATGGACCTGGCATGTCCTCAGTTGAGGATGCCAAAACATAACCCTTCTGAAGGGTCAGTTGACCCATTTTTTGGAAAAAATAAATGCTTGTTATATGCCTTGCTTTGTAATGGCTGGTATATTGTAAAGACAAGTCAGGTGGAGTGGGGGGCTGGCGCTGAGACGTGGGGTGCGCCTGCACAGGCTCCACAACCTGAGGACCAATGGGTGTCTTCAGGAGCTGAGGGCGCAGAGCGGGGGGAACAGCGGGAAGATGTGCTTGGGCAGGTCGGGGGAGGCCCTCGCAGTGTGTGGGACACAGGAGTGACTCTGTAGCTACACGTACAATCCTGCAGCACAGGTGAGTGCGGGAAGATGGAATCGAACGTCAGTGAGGACCGACCATGCTGGGACCAGTGATGGAGTTCTGAACCACGGGAACAGATGGGGTCATGGGCACAGACCCCACAGGACATGATGAGTGATGAGACAAGATTAGGGGGTGCGCACGATGAAATGACCTCCAGTCTGCTGCCCTGTGAGATCTGGGTGGGTGTGAGTGCTGCTCACAGGTGGGAGGTGCACGGGGGTGACCTGATAAAGCTTTGGTGAGCCCAGTGTGGACACAACCGACTTGAATTTGGCATTTCAAGATGCTCCAGCTTAATAGGACAAGATAACTCATTCAATACCTTTTGCCACGACTGTGTCCTGACTGTCCTGTGTCAGTGTGTCTGCCCTGCAAGGGCAGAGTGACGGGGAAGTGTCTCCTTTGGCGATCCCAGAGTCTCCACTGGGAATGAGATACATTGAGGACATAAGCCCACAGCCCGAGGCAGAGTGTGCAGTGCCTTCACAGACCCAAGTGCTGGGGCCCAGAGGGACATTGGGGACAGTCCCTAGCCAAGTTTGCTGAAGTGCAGTGTGCCCCTGGGGGCACTTGGAGAGGAAACGGTGAAGTGGGCGGGCCCAGATGGCACCCGCCTCCAGTGCTGGGTTTGAAATTCCCACTTGATTGTGGTTGTTTGTTTGTTTGTTTGTTTTTATGCGGAAAAGGGAGGGTGAGCAGTAGGCCTTTGAATCAGAACCCATAAGTGAATTCAGTGAGGGTCAAAATAAGCATTTTTTTTAATTAAAATTTATTTGGGTGAGAAAAAAAATCAATGATTCTACATTATAACAGATTCAGATTAATCATACCAAAACAACTATATCAAACAGACCTCAACAAAAAAATTTTACTTTTAGTCAGTCATTATTAAAAAGAACAGTCAGGTTGCTCATTTGTATTGTGTTAGAAAAAGACAGAATACTTCAGCCTGCTCTCTCTTGTAGTTTGTCTCCTGTATTCTCAATGACATACACATAATGTTCACTTACATTAAGGTTATACTGTTAATATATTCTTGATATGCATATTTATATATTCTGCAAATAAAAATGAAAAATAATAAAGGATTTGTTTTCCTTTCCCGAATTAAAGAACTTTTATTATCAGCAATTTCTTAAGGCATTATTCAGAAGAATTTGGAAATATAAAATTCTGCAATTATTTAGAGTAACTTTACTTTCTTCTCTCTTAATACCTGATATATTAATACACCAATGCTCTGTAGATTTCAGATGTGCTTTAAAACTTCTGATTTGTATATTAAAAGATTAGACTAATTTAGACTATATAAACCATCATGATTACAGATGAGGATTAGAATTATCACAAGTCTTGTTAATGTAATCAAGCGAGCCAGAGTTATTAATTTCAAACAGTGAAACCACCTTTACTTAGTTTAACAGAAAAATGAATTATTAGAATGATATGTGGATCTTCCAGAACTAGCAGGAAAGGCTGCTGAGCTGGGCCGAGAAAAAAATAGCAGGATGAAAGAGAGACCAGGTAGTCAAGAGCAGAGCCACCATCATCACATCATGCGCTCCGTCTGGTTAGAGAACCGCCTCTAGTGCCAGCAGCTCTGGACAGGCCCTGCTGAGTTCTTGGAATTCAGCGCAGCTGCCTCTGTGGTCACTGGACACTGGCTATTTTTACTGCCACCACAGTGTTCCAGAGGATTTGTAAACTCTCAGTCAGTACAGAAGTGCCATCTAGGGAAGGCAAAGCCTGACTGGAAGAACAGAGATCCCAAGCTCGGGCTGAGTCACATGCCTGTATCTCTGCTGCCAAGGGCTTATGAGAACTCGAATCTGGCCGCTTCAATTTCATAAGACTTTACCAGGTCTCTCAAAGTGTCAGACTGCCCAGCCATTGGAAGACCATTTCAAAGCTAATCAACCAAAAAGCCAGCAACATCTATCTCACTGTCTCTCTTTGATTTTGATTCCTGCCCCTATTGTGACTATTCTCTGACCACATAGAAGCTTCCAATAATTATATTTTTTTCCAAAGTAAATTATCAAATGTTTCTGCACTGTTGTCTGTAATCTATACCTCCACCAGAATTTCTTAGGCATTGCCCATGCTCTTTATTGTTTTGTTTTGCTGAATTATTCTCCTTAAATATTTCAAGGTTTCATTTCAGCTTCACATTCAGCTTTGACTCATTATCAATAATAAAGAGTTAAACTGTACCAAGGCAATGTCTTCTTTATAAGATTATCTTAATTCTATTGGATTTAGTTAAAATTATGATGAGCAACTAATCCAGTATACAGTTGTTAGTCTCTCTTTATTAGGTGTTAGGTATGGTATTTAGTTCTTGCGAGTGAATTCTGACTGAGAATGTGTTATTGGTATATAGACAGAAGAAAATTGCCGTTTGTTCTCAGGCCTGATTTGCTCCTCTCTACAGTATTAATGCCAGCATATCAGCGAATGTTACACATAATTATTACTTTTCTTCATCTGTTTCCTAGATAATTGTCTCTAGGTACCTAAATGCATTTGTGCAGCTGTTAGTACAAGCATTGAAGACACACACACACACACACACACACACACACACACACACACGAAGCTGGTATTTCACCCACATTATTCATCTGCTAGTTACAAGCAGAGGTATGTGCAGGTAAACCGTAAGCAGTAATAGACCTGAACTCGCCAATTCACAAAAGACAAATTTTTTGAATATGAGGTAAGCCTCTGAATATTAACCCTTAAAATAAATTCGCTATGCCTTCTGTGCTGCATCTGCATATATATCAACATAATAGGCTAACACCCTGACTAAAGAGCTAGAAGCATTGTGAATTACTGAGGTAGCAGCTACTCAGAGGATATGACCAGGTTTTTTCTGCATTTTCAAACACAGCAACGGAGTCTTAAATTAATAAATATAGTTCTATTCAACTTCAATAAGAGAAGCTATCAATATTAATTCTACTTAAATAGGCTGACTTACCAATATTTGTTGATCAAGCATATCTAGTATTAGTTGAAAAGCAATCTATTGAGTAAATAAAAAGTTGAATTTATAAGTGCTAGTAATTGGTAATCAAAGGAAACATTTTACACAATACAAATATACATCTAAGTAACCAAATCTGGAAAGAAAGGGAGAGAAGCGAAGAAGAGTGTAAACAAACTAAGTTACTTTAAATTCATTGAAGGGTCCCATCAGATTTAGGTTAAGTTTAATAAACTATGATATCATTTTTT